GGGGGAGGGGAAGGGAGCGGGGAGGAGAAGTACCGAACAGACATTTGTACAGTAAAACAGTTGCTACCTGAGCCCCTGAATGAGGGTAGGGGAACCCCCCCCCCCTCCTGGATCCGCCAATGCTTTGGATTTTAAAGCCGATTGTGGCGCCAGGTTGATTTTGGGTGTCAAAGTGAGAAAGGTGTATAAGATAGAAAAAAAAAGAAAATGGAGAGAAGAACGAATGAGGTAAGACGTTTCGGTCCATTAAGGTAAGATGTTTCGATCCATTAAAAACTTTGAAAAACGGGGTTTTTAAATTATTTTTACAGTCTGTAAGGATCATTTTTTTCTGGCGAATCATTTTTTTAAGGATCAGTAAGGATTACTTTTTTTCCCTCCCAGGACAAGAAATGAGTTGATCGAGAGGCTCAAGCAATATGAAAAGGAGAAATTTGAAGCAGCAACCAGTACGCAATACGCCGAAATGTTATCCGACAAAGCATTTGCGAATTTTTTGGCCGAAATTAAACAGGAAACTGCAAAACCCGCGCCACGGTAAACCCCCATTTTCTTGTTTATATTGCTTACTTGGTGGAGAAATATGTAAAGAAATGGATTACCTTCAGCGTCTTGAGAAGATGAAAAGGTTGCCCCGTATTTTTTAAAAACCAACACATTGGTAGAGAAATTGTCCGCACTTTACTATAAGGGACTTATTTTTAAAAGCAAATTTTGTGACCGTTTAAAATTTTTTATTTTAATTACCTTTTTTATTATTGTTTTTTAGATTTTTTATCGAAAAAATCAAATCTGAAATGGCTTTCGCTGATCCCTTCCCTTTTTTCGCCTCCTAATCAGATTTTTACTCATTTCCCAGAAAAATTCTGGATAAAAACATTTTTGATAAAAACATTCAGATTTTTCGTTCTTATTTCAGTTTTTTTTTCGAATTGTTTTTCCGTATGCATAAATAATATTAAGTCTTTTTATACTTATATTCTTGCAGAATAATTCAAATTTTTTAAGATCATTATGATTTCGTATATCACAAAAATCGCCCTGAATTATCGTTATCAAGACAACGTTATGAAATCATTAATTTGCTGAATTATCGTTATGAAGTCATTAATTTGTTGTTTTCATGGAAAAACCCCAGGAATAAAATTAAGAGTGAGGTCTTTTTTGAGGAAATTTCAGGAATATGTAGATTTTTCCTGTGCCGAATAGAGCTACTGATTTCTTTTAATAAAAAAAAACTCGTTTTTTTTTTGCCTTATCCGGATATTTTGCCCAAAAATGTAGGAAAAATGCACCTTATTTAGATAACTTTGTTTCTCTCCTTGCAGAGCAGTTGAAATGCGTCGAATGCGCCAAGGACTGCTTCTACTCAAGCGTGAAATATTCTATCAAGCTATGCAGGTTAATTCGTTATTCGCAGTTTTTTGTTCATTTTTTTCCTTTGGGAGGCGGATCTGGAGCTCTCGAAATTTTTCGCGAGACCGAAATTTTCATATTCTTTTAAAATTTTAAAGTAAATTCGTAACTCCACGCAGGCCCATCCTTGCTTGGCACATTTTACTGTTTTTGCTGTGGCCGGGGCTGAACACCTAGGCTACTGGTATCCTAATTTTTGGTCCTTCTGGTTTTTTTTAATTTCTTTTTCCAAGAGTCAGTTATAACAAATTTTCTTTTAAATGTAAAATCCTTCAATCTGCTTAAACGATCTTTGTCCAAACCCTCGAAGGGAGAGGAAGAAGGAAGGAGGGAGGAAGGGAGGCGGGCGTGGGAGGGATGTAAAAATGAACTCGAAAGCACTTTCCTTTAAATTTGCGGATTCGGGTTTATCACGAGAAACTAGCAATTAGGCTGTAGGCCGAACAATCGCATTGAATTGCAAAAATAAAAGATAATACTAAGGATAATAATTGTGTCGCTACAAAAAGTGGAATAAACGTTAAAATAGAGCAAACGAAGAAACTGTAGTTTTTTTTTTTTTTCAATGAGTCCAGAGAATTTTTGTTGATTGAAAGAATACTATTAAGCCTCTTGCTGCTTCTTCTTTCATTAATGCAGTTCTAGAGAGTTACAATAGAGCACTTTGACCTCGAAAAATAAAAATTTTAGCACTAAACTGTTTCAAAATTTGCTTGCATTTATAAAGGATTAACGACATTTGAACTTTTACAAAAGTTGTGTTTTTGGAACCTCCCGTTTTTCGCTCCTCCCGTCTTTCCACCTGGCTGTTTCTCACTGGAGGGTGTTTAATATGGACCAGCTGTGACGGAGATCAAAGGCAGTGGGCTGCCCGAAAAGTATAATTAGCATAAAGTTGTATGTTAGAAAGCATTTTTTTCCAGTCCGGTCATAAGGTAGTGGATGCTCGAGGAATCGCTGAACGCGCAGTAAAAATAGCCGAAGAGAGGGCAGTAAAAAAGCACGAAATTCTCACACAGAACTATACGGAAGAAGAAAAAAAGAAGAAACTTGAGGAGCTGGAAAAGGCCGAAAAAGAAAATACTTTTTATAATGTTGCAATGCGATTGGCAAGGTTTTTTTTGCTTTGATTTTCTTCCTGAGTTTATTATATCAGTGTCTGTGGCTAATCGAAAATTTAAACGAATTGTGTTATTTCATCTGTTTTTTTTTTGTTTAGGTATTTTAGTATGATTATGATTTGTCATTAGCGCATCCTGAAATGGGGTCGCTGTCCTTCGTTTTAACTGAAAAACTGCAAAAACATGAAAAAAATACTAAAACATCTACACTATCTGTGAAAAAGTGAAAAAAAAAATCATGTTGAACGTGAGAATTTACTTAGGCCAGGTGAGAAATGTGACCTAAGAGATAAGTGAAGTTCAATTATAGAAGCACTGACTTTCACTGAAATTGTAGGAAATGTATTAAAAAGATCAAAATTTCATAAAAGTGTTAGACCAACTGTTTCATAGAAGTGTTAGACCAAAATTGAGAAGCACTAATTTACATCAAAATTCAAAAAAAAAGAAAAAAAAAACAGGGTGCTAAGTACGGAAACGCTAGGAAAATGCATAGAACGGAAGAGAAAAGGACTTGGAAGAGGCCCAAATTGGATACAACCTATTTTTCGATGGATGCAGGCTGTTTTCGTGCTATCAGGCGCTACTGTCGGCATACATCTGTTTTTCTCTATTCTGACTTTACGAATTGAAAATGTAACATCTTCAATGCTAATATTTCCCTTGGGTTTTTTTACCTGGAGTTTTACAATTTATCAGTTATTTTTTCAGCAAAATGCGCTACTGCCGACGTAAATCTATTTTTCTTTATTCTGACTTTATGAATTGAAAATATAACTTTAACGCCGATTTTTACTGTTTTTTTTTTACCTGAAATGTCAAGATTTATCAGTCATTTTTTTCAGCAAAATGCTTTACCCAGATGACCCATTGCCTGATGCATCCCATGTAATCCAATCAAATGTTGTTCAACCAAATCCGCATACGAGGAGTATATTTGAAAATCCGGAAGACCGGCTGAATATTTTCAAATCAGCGGATATACCGAAACTAAAGGAACACTCAATTAAGCAATGGGTCGAATGGGACAAAAATGCAGCAGCGTAATTTTTATTTCTCATTTGCTGTGTTTTATAAACGACAGTTATACCCATGCAGAAGAGGGTTCAAAGAAATGACGCAAAAAGAACTACTGAAACTAAAATAATTGGCCAACGCATAGGCTGCCCGTGCGAAGATGCGTTTTTTTGCATAGTTCCCCGCAGTTTTTGTCGCTACTGGCATCGGTTTTTTCGGCAAATGCTTCTGACTGAACAAATTAAGACGGGCCGCCATCCCTCTAAGATTTCACGTTCTAGCTTCTCAGATCCCCGAGCTAAGAACTCACGGAAAAAAATCTTAGCTGGCCCGTACGCGGGTACCACGCGGGCGATGGCGCCTTTTTTGGGGATTGGGGCGGCACGTGCATGTAGATTAGGTCCCCGAAATTTCACTCCTGCAGCTTTTATAGGTCTTGAGATGAAAGTGCGTGACAGACGCACACACAGGCACACAGACAACCCCTCGTCAGTGTGCGTTTTTGTATT